TATATATATATATATATATATATATATATATATATAGTTTGTTTCACCAATGCAACCCAATAAATTGAGATATTTATGGAAATGATGAGATTTCATTTATTATGATTTGAATATTTATGGAAGATGAATCTGGTTCATTAATTATGATCAATACTTTATATTAGTAAACAATCAAAACTTCTATGAAATTATGTATTAATCAAATGAAATGGACGGTTGAGATTAGATTGTATTGGTTGCACAAATATCAAGGGTTGTATAATAACCAACATATATATATATATATATATATTTATTATTAAAATTATAATATGTTTTTATTACGACCCGATTAGAATAAAAACCCGCCAAATTCAAAATAATTGTCGTACCCAAAGTTATTATTTACGAAAATACCCTTAAGATATTTAATTTGATAAAATACACCACAAACTTATTGAAAGGAACATTTATTTTTATATTTATGGTTACCACACCTTACTTATAAAAAATCTTTTAACTTTGCCATCCACCCCTCTTCTTTGTTTTAATTGCCTTTTGAGTTCCTATACTTTTTAACTTTGACAGTGTGAGGACCTGTACTTTAAAAAACCACCTGGGTATATATAAATTCCGAAGTATCATCAAGTAATACATACGAAGAATGGCATGTACTTGGTCATGTCTCAATTGATAATAGATAGGGATGGTGATTTGCCCCGACCCGGTGGGGAACCCGGTTCACTCGACCAAACGGTGACGAAGATTCCCTGCTAAAACGGGTCCCAAGGCCGGGGATCATTGGTAGACTCAAACCTGGGCCAAGGCCGAGGAATGTTACTCAAACCCGAGCCGAGGATCCCCGATAGAATCAAACTAACGGATATTCTTCATGGGTTTTGATCGGGGATTGACCGGAGTTTGATCGAGGATTGATAGAGGTTTGACCGGGGAAGTGATGTTAATCCCCGTACCCTCCGGGGACAGGGACCAGGGCCGTGGAATGTTACTACAAACCGGGGTCGAATCCAGGGCCTGGGGATATTACTACAAATCGGGGTCGGGGCCGAGGATTACAAAACCCGCCCCATTCCCGTGTCGTTTCCATGCCTAATAATAAACGAGAGACTTTTAAGATCCATGATCTTATTCTTAATGTTGTATCCACTATTCCAAGCACATCAGATACTAAAAAAGTTATAATTTGAAATTTTTATGATCCAGAAAAAGATGAAAATTTTGAATTAGGGTTTGTTTGTGAAAGCAACTTCTCATACGTATTCAAGCTACATGAAGTTGGGACCCATGAAAATAAACAGTTGGAACTGAAAAACCGCATGAATTCCAAATGGTAAGGGTGTGCACGACTCGACTCAAACTTAAGCAATTGGTTAGTCTGGAAATCATCTGTTTGGACAGTCGAGTCATTCAGTTTAATTACTAAAGTAATCCATTTCAACATAATTAAACATCGATCTGATAAATGTTTTTTTATCATCTATTTTAAGTACCAAACCAACCAGATTAAACAATGTATATTTATACATCACAGTTATTACCATGAAAGTCAGAAGATCAAAATTTTGAAATAAAATACAAGTAATCAAAAATAAACATTTGGGGCTTATTATGAACACTAACTTAAGTATAGGGACTATATATAGAAATATAAATACTATAGGGACCAAATATGAAAAATAAAATTTGTTCCCTATATATGAGGAACTCATCCCCTTTGTGGTGGTCGTTCAGCTTCCATTATTTGCACGTAAACAAGAGGCCTGGCCATCCACACCGATTATTTGTTTCAGGCCTCCGTCTTCTTCGCTGCAAACCGCCGTGTAATTCCTCCGCCACCACCGCCGTGATTCTACAAAACTGGCAACCTTGAACGCCGCCACCACCTTTATTCGTTAAAAAAAATTATACGAGATCCATAGCCACCGCCCTCCGCCACCACGAACGACGAACGACTGCCAATGGCGAGAGTGCTGGCGGTGGAACAACTCAACCAGCTACGTGACATTTTCGCCAGATTCGACATGGATTCCGATGGATCTCTCACGTACCTTGAACTGGCGGCCCTCCTCCGGTCTCTGGGCCTAAAACTCTCCGGAGATCAGATCTATATACTCTTCCATAATATGGATTCCAATGGCAATGGTGCGATTGAATTCGAAGAACTCGTAGGGGCTATGTCGATTGATGTGAAAACCGAAGAGATCCTTATCAATCAACGACAACTTCATGAGGCGTTCCGATGGTTCGATCGAGAAGGAAATGGATTCATCACTCCTGCACAGCTGGCGAAATCAATGGCTAAGCTCGGTCAGCCATTGACGTACCGTGAGCTCACCGCGATGCTTGAAGAAGCCGATATCGACGGCGATGGTGTCATTAATTTTAGGGAATTCACGAGAGTAATGGCGAAATCGGCAGCTGATATCTTTGGAATTCAAGTTTCATGACCAGGGTAAATTGTTTCTTTGATCCATCTTTAATTATTTCATAATATCGTCTCTGTGAATAAGAATTTTGAGCATTTCTTTGAAATAAGAATCAAAACCTAAAATATGAAAAAGAAGAATTATATTTAATTTAAATTATGATCGAAGAGATATTTTTCACTCATATTAATCATTTCCACGAATTTGAAGAATTTCTCATGTTTTCTTTGTTTTGAAAAATCTATTGTACCAACGAATTTGTTCAAATTCTCAATTTTCTCCCTTCTACAAAATCTCTTAAATGCCATAATAGTTTTTTATTGAATTTTAAGAGACCATTGATATGATCCATGAAGATGTACAAGTGGTTTTTGGAAAAGAGTTTAAGTGAAACAAAGATATTCACCAACTTGCCAAATGGTCTTTGGTTTAGCGGTATGTGTAGAGACGATCCAATCTTTTTGGAGGTCTTGTTAAATCTAAAACTTTTGATTATATTGCATAAATGAGATGACATAGAATATATGTGAAGAATAAAAATGGGCTAAACATAAAACGATTAACAATCTGAAACTAAACATAAAACATTAATGATTTGAACCTAAAACCAAATAAGTGATGGTTTGAACCTAGATAATTTCGGCTATAGTTTTACACATGTCAATAAAAAGACTCTAAACACATGTAAATTTGGGCCCCAATCGAGGGCTCTATTCAAAATCTCACATTTAACATGCTAAGGGACGGCCCTGGGTATGTGAATCTTTGGCCTCCTAGGAGGTCGAGGGTTCAAACCTCACCAAATGTGAAAAAGATGTGTGAGTTTATTTGTTTTATTTACCGTATATAAACATTATATACTTCAAAAAGAAAACGATATTCACCAACTTAGTAAGATGATATGTTGTTTCACTTAATAAAAATTTATTCCAAAATCACTTCTACATCTTCATGGATCATATCAATTAGGTTCAAATTTGAATGGTAAAGATGTTTGAGGATGTGAAAATACAAAAGATATGGATGATAATTTAAAAAGTAACTGCTTTTTTATATGTTTTATGACTTCCTCTACCTTTTTATCATTCTTATTGAACTTCGTTGTAATTTCAAGTTGATTTAAAAGTTATTTAAGGTGCCGTTTACCAAACTTTTACTCGGGTAAGCGCTTACCAAGTCACATCACTTTACCGGATGAATATGACAAGGACTAAGAATCTTACCTGGTAAGAGCGAAGGCAAGAATCGAGAGTCTTACCCGGTAAGTGAGTGAGGGCGATGACTCTTACCATGGTAGCGCTTACCGAGATAAATTGTTGCATACGATCGTTTTGGTGAATAAAATCTTACTCAATAAGTAAATGATAGTGTTGAATTTTACCAATAAGCGCTTACATACAATATATCTATTACAAGTATTAATTTTGGGTCTCTTTAGGCCTCTTTTTAGGTCTTAAAGAATTTAAGTGGAGGACATCATGACATTCTGTTCATAATTTAACGTTGATGAGGAAGTTATTTGGTGAATCTGCTGCTTTGTGATTGGGATGTTATAAATGGTTATCAGGGTTGCCAGTTTCTGTATAGGTCTGACAAGTACGTCAGACATTTTAAGTCGGGGAATTCGTGACATCTCGTCCCACATCAATTGTGAATAATCATTTGTGAATAAGTCTTTTATAAATCGTTGTGGACTAGTACCTGCTTTGGGTTTTGGGTGTTACACATAATCTCGTTACATTCATCCTTGCCTCGTGCTCTTTGATCGTGATCTTGAAATTTTGGACCAAGTAGTCGGTGCGGGAAACGAAGAACTACAAAAGAGCTGCAATTTAATGGTTTTTTGGGATCATAGATTAAGGTACAAATTTTATGATTCTTCCGGTTCGAGCTCTTTTTAGTTGTAATAAAAGAAGAAATGAGCCAAATGAAGGAGATGAATAGTAGAAGCAAAACTAGCAAATAGAAATGAGTTTTGTTGTATATATGCTCTTCTCCTTGAGGAGGATGAAGCTGAACTTATATAACCATTTTTCTGACTTCTCGTGTGCGTGTGATATTGGTCTGGATAGATCATGCCGAGAACTCAATGTCTACGGCATGAACTATCCAGATGTACATTCATACATATGTATGTAGTAATGTAAGCGTAAGTTCATTTGAGAACCGTAAATATTTTAAGAACAATCAACCGACTATTTATAAATATAATCTTGATAGAGATATTCATGATGAATATCATGAATAATGAAAATGCATGACATTTATGATATATAATATTCATTAAAAGATTTAGATATATTCATAATGAATAATTGGTTCTCATAGTTTCTAAAATATTTACAGTTTCTTAAAGAACTTTTTTGTATAGATACAATCCAAACTACTTTAAATGTTGTAACTATCCTTGTCACTTTCTATCCAAATTTCAACATGCCACTCAACAGGTATATTCATAATTAATAATGTGGTCTTGGTAACGTATGGAAACAAAGTTTTTAAAAGTGTCTCATGATATCGTTTTCCAAAGAGAGCTTGTCGTGAGGCACGCAACATGCATGAATGCACCTTTTAACGGGAACGTCAAAGGTTTCTATAAGCATGTGTTATTATTATACGGGGAACTTTAGATACTTTAAATAATATTATATTTTTCTAAACTTCTTTATAAGATGACTTTCGGATTCCGGTATTGCCGCTTTTCAGTCCCAATAAGACAAATTTTACATACCGATCGAAAAAACAAGAACCATTCTACCATCTCTAAAGGTCCGTTGGGTTTGTAAGATATGGTGGGATATGGAATTGAATTCTATTTTAATCATGCGTTTAGTTGAAAGAAAATCCTGAATTACAATTTTGGGGTTTTGAAAGAAAAATCACAAATATTGGATTTAGAAATCCTGTGAGCTAATTGATATTGTTATTATTATTATATGTTGTTTTCATAAATTATCTATAAATAATGAAATTTAGTTTTATTTCAAATTCTACAAATCAAATACACCTAATCTTTCCACGAAATGTAAATCCATCAAAAGCATTCTGCCAAACCAAACAGGTCCTAGGTTAGTACCAATAATGATGTTACATTTATTATATCGGTTAATTTGCAAAGCTGAAACTAAAATACAACAGTCCCAAAAGACCTCGAGATCAATCTGCAATCGATCGGTCAAAATTGAAAATGCAAACTACTCATCATAGAAGTAAAATCAACCAAACCAAACAAACTCAATATACGTGTAACAAACCGTCCCGTAAGATAAAAAATATTATATTTGTAAACGATTGGGGGTGTTTGGTTCGCAAAATGATTTCTGAAGAAATGAAATCTGTCAAAGAAATTGGAATCTGAAAAGAATTAGAATGAAATGTTATTAGGTTTGACCAAGTATTTGGTTGACCGGAATTAAATGTAATTTGTCTAACGAACTGGAATCTGTTTTTTTGATTTGTAACATAATTGGAATGAAATGATGAAAAATGACAAAAATACCTTTTTTTTTTTTTTTTTGGATGTTCTAAAAAAAAGTAATTAGAGAACAAATTAAAAAGAGCCAAATCAAAACACTATTAGGCTCTCCCTAAACACTATCATATCAGCCAAATCAACATCTTCTCCATTCTGCACCACGCCAGCTTCCTTACCAACATCTTCTTTTTCTGCCTTCATTGTCTCTCGATTCACATATGCTACTCGTCTACTGCTCGTCTCGTCTCGTCTCACCCTATGTTGATGTTGTTCTATGACCAAACCCAAAACTTGCACAACCTAAACCCCTTTTACCCTCAGCGGCCCTTCTACCCTCATCTAGGTTCTAACCTGTTCACAAACATGGATTGCTTTTTCGTCGACCATTGTTGTAACAAAAATTTGGATTCTGAAAATGGGTTTTGGTTCAAAACATGAATAGAGCTTAATTTGAGTTTGATTTTACATTGGATTTGATTTTGAATCAAGAGTTTGGAGGGCAAGTATCATAAGCAAAAATTGGTCGATCAATTTTAGGAATGAATTTCGATTCTTGATAGAGGGTATTTTTGTCATTTACATATTTTTGGATGGAATAGATTTCAATTTCATCTGTTTTGGAATTCAATTTCATTTCATTTCATGGGTAACCAAACGTTGTAATGAAATTTAGTCAACAAAATTGACCATTCGAATTCCATCGGATTCCGATGGAACAAAAGAATTTCACCATAGTTATAACTTGATTAACAGGTTACTGGGCCGATCTGTTGTTTTAGGTACATGCAGCGTAACAATATCCCACTGGAAAAAATGCATGCAAACCTAACTTCAACTCCAAAAAGTAAAACGGTTGTTTTGGAAATTCTTTGAAACACATTTTGGTACCCTGCTCCTAAGATAGCTTGTAATTTAAAAACTCTTAACTATTCAAGTTACAATGATATTACATTTCTATGTGGATATAAAAATCGAAAACTTGTGTCGGTTTTGGAGATCGTAAAGTAATTTCGTGAACTTTTGCGCCAATCGGCTGAGCTTAGAACAGAGATCGAGATTTGTATTAGCAAACGACGCTTGTTTCTTAGGTTCATTTCTTCAGTCTCTCCATTTCCTCTTCTCCCTTTTGCCATCTCCATATTCTTTATCTGCAGAACGACGAGATCTGCTCGATAAGCCGTGACTTCTATGCTTCCGATCCTTGGAGTGTTTTCTGTGTTCCTTCTTTCTCCCTTTATGTCGTGAACTGTGTCGATCCCTATTACCATCTGGACTGCTACTCCGATGACGATAGCGCTTGGATCGTTTTTGACTCCTCTCATCCCCTGAAGAATTTTCGACCCTTTTAACCTTTTTGTCCTTTTCTGTAATTTCATGATTAAATACCACGGTTTCATTTTTAGAGCCGCCCTCTTTTATTCTGCTGATGTCTTTATGGGCATCGGAATCGATCGCTTCACGTTTCTGTGTATGTACCTCTTGATGGATTTCCGGAACTGTCTTCTGAGAAGCATGTGGCTCGGGATGGTTCTCCACGTACGGTTGATCAGGAGGGACCTCGAGGCCAAGCTCTTTTCCCAATGATTCCAGAAAGTCACCGGCCATTAAACGACTTAAAGTTGTATTGGCAGCTTCTATTTTCTTTGTCGGGTCTTCTGGTTGGTTGACGTTGGAATCTCCCTCTTCATCGTCCGAATCATCAGAGAATATAGCCTACAAACATACCAAAAGAAGATTTCAAAAATTAAGAAATGGCTTGCTTCAGAAAAAGAAAATTAAGAAATGACTCATCCAATTAAGTGTCCACATTTCTATTTTAGTTTATCCATGTATAACTGTCCACTTTCAAAAGTAAGTGCATACTTTCCAATTCTAGCCATTATTATCAAATGGAAAAATTAATTACTCTCACTATTTTTAAGGGTAAAATTGTCATATAGTTAATTGAAATGTAATATTTATACATTTCTAAAACTTTGTTCCTTTTTCATTGTGGGTATTTATTTTGAGATGGAAAAATTGCACCAAAATGGAACCAACTTTCATCTGATTCCTATTTTGGGATACCAACTTTCAAAATCGTCATTTTGGGGAACCAACTTGCACCTGATTCCTATTTTGGTAAATCAAATTGCAATTTTCCCTTTTTGAGACAGAGGGATAGAACGATTAGATAATTGCCATGATGGGGCGTAGGCATGTGGCAGATGGCAGGGCATGACAAAGAATTAGTAAGCGCATGAACATGCTATACATATTGAATATAGAAATTACTAAAGAATTACTCGAATCAATTGACATTTACATATCTACAATTCACAAATATTCATATATAAGTCATTGATATTGTTATGAACCGGCTTAGCAGGGTGAAACAAACACAATAACAGGAACAAAATGTATGGCCAAATCGTATTCAATCACAGTAAATGAATGGAAAACAAAAGACAACGATAGGAACTCTAGCAATTCGAGAGTGCTAGTCTCTCCCAAAAGAAACCATTAATTTCTGCATGCCTACACCACCCACATCATCCCTCTTTATACTAATATTTATTCTAAGTAATACCTAAATTACCCCTTCTTAACAATTTTAGAATATCCCTTGGGAATAGGCTTGGGCCTCTAGATGGGTGCATGACAGATATTTAGCAATTTGATGATGATGTTGACATCAATTTACCATTAATATCAGTCAAGAATTGGAATTCAATTAACATATTAAGCACTAACACTTAATTAGCCACAATCCCGTAAACACGAACATCACAGAAAAGAGGCAAAAAGGTCAGGTCACAAGGCATACCCGAGGCTTAGAAAGCAGTCCTACCATGAATGTTCGATATAATTTTCTCTTCCACTGATATATTAAGTTCAAAAGATGTTCGGTGAACTCCGATCTCATTTAAACAAAAAGAGCATAAGAAAACAAACCAAACCAGATGTATGCATTTCAAACACACTGTACTAGTGTACTTTTCTACAAATGGTTGGTCAAGAATACTAAATTGAAGTGCCCAACTTAAATGGTGTTCAACCAGCTTTTTGAATTTTGATGCTCTATTACTATTCCATTTGAACAGGTGAAAAGGCTAATAGCATATAGATTACAAAAACTAGATATCTTCATGTATAATTTTTCCCCAAAAGATAACAGCTTGACACAAATAATAAATGTTATTTATGATAGCAAGAAGCTGCCAATCTTTTGTTCCCGCATATAAAAGCACAAAGTTGGCACATTATTAAATTCTAAACCATTAGCATCTTTTTATGGAGGATATTTAGTAAAACACAACTATAAAATATGTGAAAGCAATCACGATGATACATTTTTTATATACAAATTCATCAGTCATTAAGTAAGAACATGAGTGCACAAATAACCAGCAGGCTGCAATGGAGATACAACAATACAACAGTCTGTACAGTAAAGAAACTAGAATAGTACTCCCTCCTTCCCAAAAGTAATGAGTGTCCATAAGTGCCTACTTTCCAATTCTACTCTTAATTATGAGATGAAGGATTTCATAACACCCTCTATTATTAAGGTTAAAATTGTCATTTACTTAATTAAAAGGGGTAATGATTACACATTTCTAAAACTGCATGTCTTTTTCATTGTGGACATTTATTCAGGACGGAGGAAGTAATAGATGTGAGAGAAAATTTTTACCTTATAGAGGTCAACTGGTCTCTCGACATTTTCAACCTCAACCTTATCTTCAATACCCAGGGTAGTTGTTCCCTCTTTTTCACCCAATTGGGAAGCAGGTGATGAGATGCTATTTGAGATGGCCCTTTCCTCTTCTGTTGCAGCCTTAACATAGTCTGGCATAAAGATAAGAGAATCCAACTTGCTCCTCGATCTTGGAGGAGGTGGTGGCTGCAAAAAGTAATTACTGGCTGATTTAGTTTATTTTGTTATTACACGACATAAATCTTTTTTTTTTGAAGTATATAATATTTATATACGGCAAATAGAACAAATAAACTCACATATCCTCCGCACCTTTGGTGAGGTTTGAACCCTTGACCTCCTAGAAGGCCAATGACTCACATACCGCTAGGGCAAAGGCCCTTTGGTCACGACATAAATCTAACTTGCATAGTTGCACTGAAAACCTACTTTGTTGTCATACTATATTTTAAAACACATACATATCCACTGAAAAATACAATAAATGCATTTGTTATATGTTCTGCTTTACACATTTTCATGCCCTCTAAATGAATTTAACACGATGGCACATGAAAAGCAAATTCATCTACTTGGGTTCAGTATGCTTGATGCATGATTAAACTTTTTTCCCTCTCAACTCTCCTAGATTCGAATCTACATCCATTCAAACACTGGTAACCTGGAAATATAGGTAACAAAGGGGTTCAGGCGTACCAATCTTGTCCCCCATCCAAAAAGATGGTACATTTACCTGGAACACAAAAATATAGCAAGGTAATAATGTCTAAGGTAATTGGTATCTATCATTTGGAGCACAAATTATCAAATATTCTAGTTACTCATTTGGTACATTAGCTTAGAAGTATTTACAGGAGCCAAATTCCAAAAGTAATTTCTTTAGTTCTCTAGTCAACATGAAAATATAACTCTTCCTATATTTTGTTAGACCCAAGCATGGGGCATGGCCTGGTTTAATATTTAGGGTTTATATCTAGGGTTGATTAGTTAAAACAGACAAGAATAGTAATGTTCGTAGATTAAATACGCACTAATGTTATTCCATAATTAAGCATCTGTGAAAATTGGGATTAGAAGAAGTCAACTGTTATGCTTGATTTGATACAGCTTACAGGGTTCAATTAAGCATCTTTGGAGAGAGAGCTGCCTCTCAAAAGCACACAAGATTTGGTAGTTTTCATTAAACAAGAAGAGGGAAAGCATACACAATGATTATAACAGTTTTAGGGTTAGAATGGACAATACTTGGAAAAGTTGTCTCCACATGCCATGCATGTACCAAGATAAATACATATTAAATACCCATCTCAACAGGTAGTGAATCCTAATAACAACTCCATATATGTTGTATGTATAACCACTATAGGTACATCCTTACGTCCACATTGCCAGGGTTAGACATCATGGACTAAATCCCGAATTACAATATGCATATCCCAAGTGTCTGCAAGTTTCAGATGTAAACCCATGGGTACCCACAATTACGGAACACAATAACTGATTGTTCTGCATTGATAAAAGAAGTTGCAGATCTACACTCGAGCACACTACATATGATCACAGACAACAGGACAAGATGACTAGTGAAAAATACCAGGTTCTGAGTTTAGCACAAACTGGCAGACGTGTCAACCGATATTTTAATAGGAATCACAATGGATTCAACTTCTAGTAACGTATGACAGCCTGAAAGTTTAGCACCAATGACTAAAAAAGGCCTGATTCAACTCATTAGGATGAGCAGCATAAATCAGTTTGTATCATATAAAGGTTATGGATGATGACAAATGGCTGAAGACATTACTCAGACATCATAAGGCCTAATGTCACCCCATGATGAGTGATAGTGAAGGTTCATTGGTGAACAATTAAGACAAATAAGTTAGGAATATACACACACTTATATATCGACCATAAAGATAAAAAAAACCTTGCATGTCTACATGAAGTAAGCAGAAATGGCTAGAATACATCCAAGTAAATCCCATATAAAGATTGAGAGCATGCAATAATGCATACACAATCCCCTCTATGAGCATGTGACAATATCATATACACTAATAAGTTCGTAAGCAGAAGATTTGCAAAATGTGATTGCTATAACTCATCAATATAAAATCTATAACTATCATTAGCAAGTTACAGTTGGTTGTATTATAAAATGTACAAACCACTTTACCCTTGTATCCACCTAGAGGCTATTTTTTTGTAGAAGTAAATGAAAATAAAAGAAAGGTACCTTCCCCATATAAGGATCAATTAAATCAAAGCGCTTGCATAAAATGGATGCAGGTCGCCATTGGAATTCTTCACGCTTAGGGAACATACTCTTCATCATTTCTTCAGCTCGACTGACTTCGGGTTTCTGTGAATAAATTATTAAGTTAAGATCCAGAAAATCATACAAAACATTGTTACAGGGAATGAATGTGCAGACACCATAATACATGCCTCTGATCCGCCGGAAGTGAACTGCAATCGACCAGCTGATGCACCCAATATCTGTTGATTAGAAGGCTTACTTTCCTTTCCCCATTTTCCTTGTGTTACTGCCTCTGCAGCTGCCTCGAACTCCAATCTCTCTCGAGCACGAGCAGCCTCAGACATTTTACTTGATCCCCCAGCATCTTTAGTACGAAGACCTCCATGATATTTCTCCTTCAGGTATTGCTCAAAACGTTCTTGCTTTGCAGGGTCATGTTGGAATGGTTTTGTGATTTCTGTGGGCTCAACCTGATATCAAATTTATGTACAACATTAATACTAGGTGAACAGAACTTTATTTTTGTCAACAAATGTGGTGATGCATGCAACAAAATCCAGATACACAAAAATCTCAGGAGGTTGAAAACTGTCAAGAGGCATATCAAGATAAACAAATAGGCAAATAATTTAGCAACTCACAAATGATGCAGGTTCAATGAACGTATCTGATAGATGGAACTGAATATTAACAGTATTAGTGGTTGGAACAGCAGGTTTCACATCTTTGGCACTTTTCTTCAGAGGCTTCTCTCCTAAAATATTTCCACGGCTCTCTGCTGTCATCTTCTGTGCAGGTGGAGCTACTTTTTCATTCAATAATGGCTTGGTTTTGTCATTATGCTTCTGTCTTGCCTCCCATAGCTTCCTTGTATAGTAATCATGGCCATTTCCACCATTAAGAAAATCAAATAGTGCATTGGACTGGTTTTTCTCTCTGGATAGTTCCTCAAATAATGGACCACAACGAGCTACCAGAGTTGCAACCCCCTCAATTAAAACCTTCAAATTATTATCCACAGGCAGAGGAACCTCTTTCGGAGGAACTTCAGCCATTTTGTGATTGACCTCAAGTGTAGCAGGGAACTTATGATGCGGCACAAAATCCTTTGGAACTACTGGAGGATCAAATCTGAAACAGTATGCAGCACAGAGTTATAGCAGTACCCGAATATAACAATATAATAGAGTTCTATATAGCTAAAATGAAAGGAGTCTGAGTTTTTCTTTGTCCTCCAATTAGGTGGTGTTGAACACTTCTAAGTTCTAGGTTTAATGATTAACAAACATCATCAGTTGCACACTTACTCCTTGAGGGTTTTAGTCTTTGAAGTGACCTACTAATCCACCATGAGCTGAATCAAAGAAGTAGGTCTTCTGATTGAAGCACTGGTAAACAACTGAAGGTTGAGAATAACTGTTAAAGAATTTAGCTATGAAGTGCTTGTTAATCTGATGACTAAAGTGGAAAACCAGTTAGAAGGTGTTAGAAGCAGGTGCCTGCATCAGCTGATCAAGCAACAGTTGGTGATGATAAGAATCATCAACCAAAGCTGGTCCAGCGTCCAACTCAAGCAGTAAGTTTTGTCTTATTCACTTAAATCAAAAGAACAGTGAGACTGTGGACCCACGTGGAGTTGGCAGAAGAGCAACAAAAGTCAACCCGAGTGTATGTTAAAACATGCACACCTTTAAAGCAGCATTTAATGCACTATGGGTGCACTAACCACATTATGAGGAACCATATTGCCAACGACTCCTAAAGGTGGCAGGTAAATTCTCTAAGGACGATTTGCCGCTATTATCCTCTGGACAAGCCATTGCAGGGTTGTCCTCCTCTTACTCAAGGATATAAATACCACTGAAGGACCTCAAGGAACATGTCCAAACATCTCCAGAGATCAAGCTTTCAATCATTCATACATTCATTCCCTTTTCTTACAATTACTTGTGTTATTGTTAACCCTTCAAGACCCACAGGTGGTTCCGTTTTGCACTTCCCTTTATTTAGATATCTTGCAAATTATACAAAATTGGTACTGTTTATTAAAGCTTAAAGGTTGTTCAGGACATGAAAGAAAGCATGAAAATGAATAATAAATGGAGGTTCTATTGTGCTGTAAGTATAACGCATACCAATAATAAGAGAGATACAAACTAAGTTGGGCCCGCCTAAAATGTTATTTTATCGGATGGAGAGTGGAGGACCCATAGCTTTCCTGCGGCTTTCTCTCTGTGATGGACAGTAATAGAAAATCTCCTCCACACCCTAAAACTGTATTTCAGGTAACTGGAAGGACCAGAATGTGAAGATTTTTACATCCAGGATCAGTTTTACATGATGATGGAGATTGATGAAGATGTTATCCCTGGAATAGGAAAAAAGCAGGATGGATGAAATGATAGACACTGCTCTTGTAAGATCAAAAAGTGCCACTGAAATGCAAGTTCAGTAGTACAGCAGCAAGACTTGCTATGATCTAGGTGTAACAAAATTGGAACCAAAAGGCAACATCAACGATTAGTGTGGCAAAAAAGTGAATGTCAAAGTGGGTGTGTCTATGAGATAAGGTTGAGGAAGCACAAGGTGAGAAAGCCAAGACAACACCAACTGAGCTGATTTGGTCATCTCCAATGACAAACCTTGAACAAACCGGTCGTAGATTAGTGAAGAGAGACCGAGTAAGTGGAGTAAATCAATGAAGTTGCCGATAGATAGGAGTGCATGGAATACGTTACAATGTGAATCATGTCCAGGACCAAACTAGTTTTCTGATTTCTTTTGGGTTTACTTTTAGCCAACCCAAACCAGTTTTGGATAAGAGGATTGTCTCATAACTCAAATTGCATTTCTAAGTCCCTCCATCCCATTTCTGGTAAACTTTGCTAGCTTTTGCCACCGACAACAAGAACTAAGGCAACAGAGTTCATAACCAAAAAAGTTAATCCATTTAACATTTTAAGTTGAAAATATGCTATACAACATTACCTTTGTAACTGGTAGTCGGAATTGGTTGCAACTTTAAAACCAGGCAGAATACCATCTTGCTTTACACTGGACTTCTTTTTATCCTCTATGGTCAACCTTGAAGGTTCCTCAATTTCTTCAACAAAAGCTTCAAAATCATAGCCTGTTACAAAACAATTATTTACGAAGCGAACCTACACTTCTATACAAGATCCAGGAACAATAGTTTGATCACAAGTTCACAACTACTTTCAAAGTAGAGCAGGTAGCCAGGTAGCCCACAAGACAAGTAGCCTCAATTCTTGCCCGTGATTTCAAAATATTTAACTCAAAAGAAATAACCACAAGTGCCTCCCTTCAAAGACGAGAGGATTTAAGTATATCAAAAATATATCATCAATGGGTTATATCAGATCCAATGACACACCAGATAAATATTATGCCCTAAAACAAAATGAGTAATACAAAAGATATATATATATATACTAACCTAGAAAATTCTTAGTTTTATTTGCACATGTAAAAATGTGTTTACCATAAAATATTCTGATCATAAGTTTATCAATATTAAAGTAAAAAACGTGCACGCGAATACAACAATTTTTTTGAGTGAAGTACACTTCATTGCTTCAAGTAGTTCATAGAGAGTCCCCAATGTTAATGTGGATGTAACCAAATGACCCTCATGGGCCGCTTGTTTCACAAGAGGACGTTCCGCATCAGCACCCCATAAACACACACTTGGAACCTACTGGACCGCCAACAACTCAACAAGGCATCCACCAAGAAAGGCTACTTGAAAGTAATAGATTTCTCTAGGCACTTCGTAGAGTTACTCCAATGTATTTCTAGGAGCTTCATTTCTAGAGAAATCTTGAGGCGTGTAGTCTTGGGGACAATGCTGTAGAACCTAGAAGGTTCTTACATATAGAGAATTCATATATCTATGATGTTCTCAGACTCCCTATAATTGATGGAGGCTTCTCATTTGTAAACCATCCAAGAAACACTTGGAAACAAGCGTTTCTCATACTCCCCCAACAAATCCTTTTTGTGTTCTTCTGCTAGTTCCTCCATCAAAATCTTCACAAGAAATCTGAAGACAGTACTTCCCAGACACCGAAGTACTAGGGCCGCATGGGTGGTTAAGCCATAAAAAATAACCATGTGACCTTTTACTATATAATGGAAACCTTTAATTTCCTTGCACAAAAAAAACCTATGAAGGTCTTAGAATAAGTAATAAACACCTTTTCTAGAAGAACAAGGCAATTTAAGCCAAGAAAAGCATAATAGGCCATAAGCCAAAAACATATGAACTCACATATTATAGTCCCAAAGAAACAATTGATTTTTAATTTCAACGATGAAGCACACGCAAGCGAAAAGTAATACTATAAAGGTATTAGAGAAGTAAGAATATACAAGAATATATGCTGATCACAAGCTGCTAGGTACTGCAGGATTTTTGAATTTTTTTGCTTCTAACGTCCAAGAAGGCATGGTTATGTATGTGTTTATAATTCATTATATGAACAAAATTGGGTTCTATTGTTATATTTCATCCCTGTTATTGAGCTTTGAATTGTAATTCTATGCTTAAATTAATACAGATACGTTTCAAGATTCATTTTTAGCGAGTATGGACATGTAGTCTTGTCTTTGTTCTTAATTGCACTTCAACATGGGATTATCAGATGGTTTATAATATGTTTTACTGCATGTAGGTGTGGGTCTTGAATACAAATGGGTTCATTTTACTTGGATGGTGCGGAGGTCTGAAAAAGGAGTCTGCACAGAAGTATATGGATGAGGATTGGAAGCACCAACAACTTTATTTGGCAAACACCCCCGCTCTGGTGATGTATGCTAGTGGTGTAACTATAATGGATGACAAGGAGATGATCTGTTCGTGTTTAGATTGTATTTGGATTTTTGTATTGTAATGAAGACCATGACTATGCTCTTGAAATTATTATGTCATCTTTTCATCAATATGAGATTTGGTTGAAATGATGAACTAACAAGTGGACATTATTTTGTTATATGAACCTTCCTACAAATATACATGTTTAGTTCATTACTGAGTTATGATTATAATAGTCTTTTGAATGACAACTTTTGACTAATTTATCAATCTAGGGTGTGTGCTCATATTGATATGCAATGTATGATGTGGAAACAAAACATAAAAGCTGGTATAGGAGTATATCAGTTCTTGCATATGTTGTTCATCATTGTGCTCAATCCACTAATTAGTGGACATGCTGTAGGAGTATGGGTAGTGAGTATTAGTTGGTAAGTTCATCAAGTTCGAGAGATTGTTAATATTTGAAGATGATGCTAGCTAACTATGTATTATTGTTGGTGCGAATTCAACAAAATGGATGAAACGATATTAGGGATTCCTCTTTCAACTAATCTCATTTGCTTAATCAGATTTAATTCCAAACTATCACTCTTCTCATAGCTGTGCATGTGTTGCATTTCGTAATTTATGTATCTTGTAATATGCGTGGTTGGTACATAATTCCAAAGTTAGTGTTAAGCTAAGTTAGAAACTAGTTAAGTAAAGTAGTTTGTAGATCACCAAACAAGAATTATTAAACCGTTACTTTTGACGCTATTTACTAACCTTTTGCAATCAAGAGAATAGAGTAATCCCTGTGGGAACAATACTTAGATTTACTAATCTATATTACTTGTTGATCATATGCACTTGTGAGTAGACTTGTTCCAGAAAGTATGCTACCTAAACCCAATCTAACCTCATGTTATTTGGGCAACTCTAAAGAGATGTTGATGAATCAACAACATAGATTGCTTCACTTTTTTAATGCAAATTGCATTATCTTCCATGATCAGGAAAAATAAAACCAAAATAGCAGTGAGAAAATGGCATGTTTATGACATTGTTGCATATAGTCAAGGTAGTATTAAGTCATTGCTTATCATTGTTGAGAAATAGGAATATTCTCCCCCTACAGCATTCAATACGCAAAAGCATAGCATTCACCACACTACGCAAAAACAGATGACGATTCAGATACCAACCTGAGGCGTACACATCCTCATCTTCAGCATCAAGCTCTTCAAGGGCTCCAATACCAAAACCAGGCGCAACATTTCTTGCTGATGAAACCAAGTCAACAAGTTACGAAGGTGATGAGACAAACTACACAACAAACAGTTCATGGAAGTAATCGCAGCAAATAAGAAAACTAATAACATTGACAGAGAGTGTACATCAAAAGATATGGGGACCATACATTTGAAAGAGAAGAGGCCGTCTTTCTTTGGCAGCAACTTTTTGTGCCCTGACTCCCTATTCCCAGGTAGATGCGAATCATGTGACCTTTTATTTTCTGAGGTTACAACACAAACTAGTGAGCGAATTAGTTGTTGAACACCAATTTAGTTGGCTAGTTCGTGGAAATTACATACCCCTAAATTCCGGAGCACCTTTGAATGGATCATAGCCTAAACCGTACATATCCTGCTTTGGGTTTAGCACATAAACCTGAAGAGAAAATAAAAGTATGAGACACTGCTTTTACAATAACAACCATCAAGAAACAATCACATAATAATGGGAAGCTGCTCATAATTTTGATATAACAGCTACAATGATACGGACTAGAAACGAATAAGCAAATGATAAATTCTTATAGGGAATAAGAATCTGGATATGGAAACTGACAGCCAAGAGAGATCCTATAACAATTTGTAACAACTATTATAACCTTTTTTAAATTAGGGGTGTGTTGAAGAACATCATTCATGGACTAAGACCCTCGGAATTCACCTCTTCATATTTTATGTTGGGTTATGCCACTTCATAAGTTCTCTTGAAATCAATTTTAGCATTACCCAACTAATTAACAATGAAAGGCTTGTGTTTTAGTCAAAAGCAAAATATATTTTTTGGTCACTAAACTGTTCAGGGTTCATATGGTTTGGTAATAAAGTTGCAACTTTTGCAATATAATATTTGATTGTAAACAACTTTTTAACAATCAGGATAATCGTCGTTTGAAAATGTTAATAAAACTAATGGAAAGGTAACTTAGTAGCATCATAGATTATGAACATTATAAAAATGCTGGGGCATGCATAATAAGTTGGACTTCAATTTTATAAATAGAAGTTCAAATGCATAAAGTATAAGCAGAAAAAATAATTTTACTACTCAGACTTCACACCCACCCCTTTCCTTCCCCTTTCCATGTCTTTCTCCTCGTCCTCCCCACCCTCATTTCTCCCTCCCCCACCTTTGGTAACCCACACATCGTCCCGTCCCTTTCCCAGTCGGGATTAGACAAGGTCCGACCTGGTTATGCCACTTGTTCACAGCCACCTGATCATCAAAGAAAATTGTTCTCTATGCTCGATGCGAAAATAGAAACTTCAGTCAACAAACTGTCAGAATCCCAAAAAGGTTATTTACCAAAAGAGTTTTTCTGCCTTAATTAGATGAAACGACCAAGAAGAAGCCCGCTGCTATAATGCTATTACAACAAGCAACAAGAACAGCAAGACTTTTATACCAAAAGAACCATAGTGACTGATAACCTTTTAAGGAGAACATTTTGAGAGAGAGGGGGGATTCAGGTAGATGTTAATTGTAATCTTAAATCAATTTTGCTGTGGTGTTAAAGCATTCCCAAAGTATATGTGATTGCTAAGAAAATTTTTAGCATATATCTTACCACATGGAATCTTGGGAGTAGATAGTATGTTGGCAGAAGGTTAAGGTGGATGGGTAAGCAGCAGAAATAGACAACCAAAATATATGGTGACAGCATACTTACAACCATAGTTATCACGTGTCCTTTCATAAATTTACAGAATAGAGTAAGAATTGAATCCTCGCCCTTTGACATGATCATTAAAAGGCAGAAGTGGGTGGGCACAATCACAATTGTGAAGAAAGGTTCCCTCTGTACAGTAAATTCAAAAAAATGGAAGTGTAAGTCTGTCTCATAAATCAATAGTACAGGACCCACCTTCAGTCCTAACCCCTCACAGCTACCAACCCACTGCAAAAAGTTATCCATTCTCAAGTCTTCAGCTTCTAAAAGCAGGCTTCACTCCTAGCTATAGTTTCCACCCAGGGCACCAGTATCCCAAGGTTAGTCACCTTAACCATTCAGAATTTCAGTTCTCAGGAAATAAACACACAACAAGAGGGCATATGATGATAAATGTTCGCCCCCGGGTAGATGCCAAAAGTGCCTAAAACTTACACTGTGTACGCCATAGTTATAAATAAATTAAATAAGGAAATCCACGATGCATGCAAAATGATGAGAACTGAAACTAATTAACATAATCCAAATGATGGCCAACTTGATGGAAAAGGGCAACAAAGAGATATACGCACTGGAGTACTTTTGTGGAACTGATTAACATTATCAGTATATGCAGCAGTTTCCATGTCTTCAACTTCAGCATGCTCGGAACCCACAACAGGTGCGCTTGCATCTTCAGAAAGAGCAAGAAAAGCTTTTCTAGCTTCTCTGCGAGCATCTGCAATAGGAAAAGAAATAGGGATTAAAAATGACAGAACAATGCCTTAATTAAAAGACTGACAGATTCACAAAAGGGTTGCCATGGAAAATTTAGTATAGAACTGCAACCTTCCATGTTGGCAGGAAGCAAAAATGATCCTAGAAAAATTACTTTCAGCAGTCAGATACCTTGGCCACCAGTCCACCACTCCAAACTTAAGAAACTGAGTACTGTTCACAAATGTTTTTCATGTCACCCAGCTTAAAAACCAATAGCCTACCAAACCAGTTTAATCCTACTACTAGGAACAAAAGGAAAAAAGGAAACGACATCTCTAATATCCACGGTTCAGAATAGTGATCAACTGAGGCTTTGGGATCATTTGAAGATAAATGACAATATTGAATAATCAAGTATTGTCTTTTGGCGTACTTTGCATAAGCCCATAGGGTCCATTGAGAAACTTTCATAGTGAATTATGCAGAACTTGAAGAGATAATTCAACTAGTAAATTGCAGAAAAACAATGGCACTACCATCCAAAAATCTACTTCAGTCATCAAAATAATAATAATAATTAGGCCAACTTCTTTTTATGTTAGCCCCTCGTAAAACCAGTTTACCCCTTAAAATCCTACATTGAAAGCAGAGACATGTTTTGTATTATATTTTCCCTAGCCAGATATTATACTTGTGATATTTTTTTTTTTTTGGGGGGCGAATGGGGGATCGAAGCTTGAAGATCCATAGCAAAATCAAATGCTTGAGGTGTTACAATTTAAGCCACAGTCGGCTGGTCCAAAAGAGAAAGATCAAATAACTTCCAGGGTTGGCTCACCGGTAATCACCAGGTCACCTACTGTGAAGCGACATCCCGAGTTCAATTGTGCTAGATGTCATCAATCCTTGTGGCCACACCAATCTTCCATTAGAAATAGTTTTGCTCAGTTTGCATGTGTGTGACAGCATACTCAGACCCCGTAGACATAGTCGGCTGATGGTTGGATGCCATGGTTATCAAAAAAATAAAAAAGGTCAGAGGTCTTCTGCAACCTCCAAAAAGCTTCCTCCACACCATTGCCACTCTCTTCTTTAGAAACACAATCTCATTTCTCCAGAGCCACACACAATCACTATTACCTCTATAACCTCTCCACAGCCAGAATGATCCACTACCACTTCAACTGTTTGTCAACATCTAAAATCCAAATAGAGACACACAGAGATAGGTGTCAAATTCAACTCAAGAATATGCACATGTATCTCTTTTTGCTCTTACCTCTCAATTTGATTCATAATCCACATATTAAGAACAGATTCAACTTAAGAAAATTCTTGATCAATACAACTCAATTTTGTCTAGAAATCAAGGGTTGTGCCTGAAGCATAACTATAGCTACATTGACTGTAAGAAATTACACGATGTGCCTATCCCTTTCAACCTCAGAAAAGGGGTCCAACTTAACTTCAGATTGGGTGGTGCCAAGATTCAATACCTACAACTAATATTTTTTATGTTATAACATCCTGTGACATAGAGATATATTGTAGAGTGAATGGTCATAACTTACAAGTTTGGTCCAAAAAACGTTTCATTTTTCACTTTTGACCAAATACTGAAAATATCTTAACATAGCCGTCTCTCACTCCAAACCAGTTAAGCAACCTCTACCAAAAAGTCATGTCCCACACATACTTCCAATTAGGCAAAACAATCAAATGAAAAGAATAAACAATCAACTGTCTCTCTCACATACCTTCAACAACATAATTTCCTTCTTCCCTATAAAGCTTCAATTACAGATCATCACACTGAAGCTCCAAAACATAATGCAAAACGTATAGGAATCAGCTTTTGCTCTTCGAGAACTTTTTTGGTTTTTTATGTACCAACCAACCTTCATCAAGCTCCAATATTTTTGCTTTTAATCTAATGTATCTCCTTTTGAAGTTTATTTCTTACCAACATGATTGAATAGAAAACATGATCAAGTACTAGAAAAAAACCTCCCACAAAAGCATCTAAGTTGAGGAACGCCAAATACTTGGCTTAATTGTTGACTATGAGACATTTTTGAGTCAGAGCGTTATCCTTGGCTTTCCGCTTATGCGAAGGCATAGCCAAGTTTGAAGATTCTCGAATGACTCGGTTAGTTTACTAAGACCCTCTATCCAACCCCCTATCAAGTATCAAGTAAGGAGAACCACCCCTAGCCATCTACCTACTCGAATTCATAGCTCAAACGGAGGCCAAGACTGTGATCCAGCAGAAAAAAAAAACAGATCTTTGGAGGTTGCTTCCTTAGCCTTTGTGAGTGCTTTCTCATTCCTAGCTTCTAAATTTTGACATCAATTCTCAGAACTAGTCAGTTATTACCTTCCATGTAGCTTTAATAATGAAAAATATGAAATCAAAAGATTTAAGATTGTTTGTTTTTGAACATTTAGTTACTTATAAACACTCTGCAAGGGCTTGGATCATGGAGCTCTCACAATATTGCCTTGCCTACAATGATGGTCGCCTCATTTTTTTTTATGACTACATGCTTTTATTAGATTGTGATATTGCAATTACGTTGGACTAAATACAACTTTCATCTGGTTGTGAAAAATAAATATATTTCAAGCAGTTTTTCATGAAACGTTACTGACACTCGAAGAACATACCATAGAGTGAATTAGTCCTTGAACTTTTTATCGAGTGACCACGACGCCATCCCATTTTCAGCATCAATCTGACACCTGTTCATCAGCAGCATGAAGATAAAGAGAGATTCTATTCAAAATACAATGAAATATTTTTAGTAAACGAAGACAGACCAATGGGATCTGTGGCTGGAACAATTATTTCATCAGGTGCAGGTCCAGGAATAGCCGATGGCCTGTAATATATTAGCATGGCATTTAAAATTAGGGGTCATAAAGACCATAAGAGATCCAAGAATATTAAAAAAAAACTACAAAAGAGAACTGTAGACTTTAAGCTTTTGCATCAGAATGCACATTTCTGTAAGTGTATTAGCTGGTGTGACCATCTTTACATGGATAGCAACATTGCTGCCATTCACACACTAGTAATTGAGGCCAACCCTCACATGATTGCAACTTTTACCTTGCATACACAAAGACACAAGCTCAAGAAAGCCTGGTCCTGATCTTCGTAGTGATGCAAGACATTTAAATGACAAAGATAGAGGGTTATTAAAATTCGAGTTATATGCGTTCAAGGAGAAATTGATAAGAGCTTTTACCATGTAAGACGCTTAAAAATGAAAAGTGGATCAATGGGTCACATTTACAACCATAATGCTTGTAGTATCATGTCTCATAATATGACATGCAGCCCTGGCATTTAAATCCATTCATCAGCAAATACCAATAGTAATTTCGCCATTGCATGCCTAATTTCTGGTATATTTCGATCCAAGCTTCTAACAGGACTCATCAACACCAACTCTCCATCATCTACATCCACGTTTAGTGACAGCTTATCTAAGAATAACCTTTCCTGTAGCATATCAACCTCTTCATCATCCTAACTGGTAATATCAACAATTTTCCTACCAAAAGGGACAAAAATATCTCCCCTGGTGTATGAAGTATGAATCTCTTCATGACTCTGCCCCTCTATATTCATCAGGTTTGTCTAGAATAATATTGTGATGATTGATAATAGAAGGCAAGCGCTTTTACTTATGTATAACACGTTGAAATCAAAGGGTATAAGATTGAGTTGGTATAAAAGTGAAGTACATGAAATGTGACTTTAGCAGTGTTCATCAAGAAGTAACAAATGTAGTAAGCATGTCCAGACAAAACCTAGCTAGGAGCATCATCTTCCGTTATTGAGGTCAAGATTACAAAAAAGATGCATTTATTGATGAGGATGTTAGTCACAGGATAAGGGCAAGGGAATGTTGAGAAGTATGAGTCTTGTCAGATCAGTGTCTTTAATTTTACTAAGTTGCAGGGTAAGTTGAATGGGACAGACTACTCTGATTTAATTTGACACCATCTAACCACAAGCTCTGCCACCTCAGACACGTATACACAACTTCTCCTGATGCTGCTTCATAGAATCATATTGGCAACATAGCATATGGAAATTATTCATTTATTTGACCCAGAATTTAACACCATAAAATTTTGTATCTTTTCCCTAAATATAGGAGTATATATGGCATAAAAAAAGGTATGAATTTATGGGAAAGGGTGAAACACACAGAAAAATCATGTTAAACTAATTTTCTCATTTTTAAAGTCGGTAAAAGATATATAAAAAAATGTGTTGCAAACTTGCAATTTATTCATAGAACATCAAGAGCTTGATCATTGCAGAAACTTCTGATGATTAAAATTGACAATTAGTCAAACCAAACAGTGATTTTACGACCTGCTATCATAATAACCAAGCATATATTAGCAGCATGCGACTGATTGTACCTCTCATTTTGTTCCTTCTCAGCCTGCTTCTTAGCTATTTCTGCTGCAGTAAATCCAAAAGTGTCAAACTGCATAGATGTTCCCAAAGAATTGCCTTCCATTTCCTAAATCGGAAAAAAAACACAATATATAAATCCCTCAATAAATAAGTAAAGATATACCCTGACTTGTTATTGTAAATTTGCCAGTCCTGGGGCTTTTCATGTCCAGGCTGGAAAGGCTAAATAATGCCCCACTATTTAAAGAAAAAAATGAAACATACTAATTTTAAGGGGTTTGAAACCTACTCAAGCTAGGCCACTCATTCCCACGCCCATTTTTGTAACTGTTTTTGATCAATAAAGTGTTTTTTTCATGCTAGATATCTTATAATTATAAAGCACCATAATGTAATTTCAAGATAAGTTGAACTTTAGACACTTGCATGCAGTGATTTGCTCTAACTAACCCTATACAACCCTATTTGGTGTTCAATTTGTCTTAAAACTTGGGAACACTTGAGAGTATAGTTGTATGGTATTTTTTTTAAATGGTCTAAACATCCATGAGCAATAAGTGAGATGCAGTCTATGTACTTCAACTGCATATCAAGAAATATAAAACAAAATAAACAACAATCATCGATTATGACTCTGCGAAGAATCGTAAAAAAGATAGTTGAAACTAGCTAGTAATTTTAATTATTTTATACAATGTTTAATTTTAGAAAATGATACAGCGGAAACCAAAAACTAACTATCAATATAGGTAAGAAGAAAGATAGATGATATGAATAAATAATTAGATAAATAGACCTTAACCAAAACCTGTGTTTAATTGATTCTAATTCTTAGAACTTCATATATTATCACATGGTATTTCCTATGCACGAGATGTGGCGACAAAAGATGACTCATAAATTTCCTTCATAGACATGTTTAACAAAATCATACATGGAACAAGAATAATAAATTTTCAAATACTATCACATGGTATTTCAAAACAAAACTCACGCAAAGTATTAACTGTTGCCTGTTGGATGTGATTAATCATCTTTAGTGTTTATTTTATTACAGATATATCTTGGCATGAAAATGAGACAAAAGGCAATGAGCTTTTAAGATAATTGAAAATTTAGAAACAAAAAGGGAATAGAAAGGAAAGTAACAAAAGTAAAAAGGGACAAAAAAGTAAACAAAGGCATCAATAGTCAAGTGGTAAGGGCGTGGTTGATCATTCTTGTGGTTCTGAGTTCAAATCTTGGTATAGCAGTTTTTCTCCATTTTTAGTGGTAATAGCGGGCCTAAGTTGATGACCCTTGGGCTTTGTTTCCTGAGTCATTGCCCTGCCTGCCAACCCCCAGGGCTGGCCCTAAGTTAAATGCATGGTCATCAACAACATAAAGTTAATGGCAACTCACACTGTTATCATACGATGCAATATATGTGCCTGTAGGTTCTCTAAACAAGATTACCTAACATTTCAAGGTAAAAAAGATATTCCTTTGAATAAAACTACTTTAAATTCCATAAAGAAAAAAAAAAGTCACACATACAGCTTTCTCATCGTCATCCAAAAAGTTTGAAAGATCTTGTTGTTTAATTTCGGCTCTTTTCTTCCTTGATGATGTAAAAGTTTGTGGAGTCCATCCTGCGAATTTGATCAGAGTAAAGTAAGAACCACCATAGTCAAACGAAGTATGTTGTTTGAGAACATGTCAGTGTTTACCCTCTTTAGAGCCCACAGTATTGAAGTAACCAGCAGAAAACCCTCCACTAAATGCTCCATGAAATCTTCTTCTCCCTTCTTCATCTCTTACCTGAAAGACACAGTATATCATAGTTAAATTTCTATAAAATAACACAAACAAAAGTGCTACATGCATCAAACGCTGTTTTAAATGCACTATAGCAAGAATGACTTCCAAAGTTTACTTTTTATGATGTTATCGTAATTCGTACCTCCATCCAAAAATCTAGGATACAGTTTCACTTTAAGCTGCCAATTTGTGAAATTCTGGAAGCCAGGATCAAAAATTATTTATTGGATATTAGTGCATACTCCTAAAACTGTGGTAACTTATGTTAAAATACAACTTGCTCGAATATTTATGGTTTATATGTTTTCAAAAGTTGATTATATGGATTTTACATCTAAGGAATTCGACATATATATATATAAGTATATAGGTGTGTCTACTTTGGAAATAACTGAAGAGTATAAACACAGCCCATGTACTGTTTGTTGATGGCACAAGTACACAAATCTCCTTGCAACTCTCAATTGCTTAAATTTGTTACGGCGTTGCTAGGTCATTTTAGTTGTGTTCACAAAACAATGAATCATACAATACTTCTTAAACCCAAATGTCGCAAAATTCAACAGCAACAGACCCAAAACAAAAACCCAAACCTCAATTAAAAAACCCTAACTCTGTTGCAAGGATGCAAACTTCCTGAATCAATCCAATTCGAGTAGTCAACCAATTATCCGAGCCTAAACAAACTTCGACTATATTAAAGAAATAAGTGTAAAGAAAACACAGAAGGAAATCGAACATACCTCTTGCTTCCAAGGAGCAAGGGTTCGCAGCTGACCAGAAGCTTCTGCAATCGATTTTTTCTTGCGGCTGGTCATATCTTCTTCTCGCTCGATTGGCGTTCCGAAGAACACAAAATCCTCTTCATCACCCTCCATTCCTCAGCTACGTATGTATTGCTTGTAGTATAAACGCCAGATGATTGTATATCTCTTTCTGTCTATCGGAATTGCCTCTTCTTCAACTCGTATGTGTCACGGAGCATCAATGGGGTTTGGGGATCACTCTGATTTCCCTATTGAGGTTTGGGCAAACAACCCATGGTAGCATTTGAGAAAAAAAAAAGTTAAATTACACAAATGATCCTTGTACAATTAGTGAATTACCAGACAGTCCTTCGACTATTCACCATCTACTATTGCGTTATCGTTAGTCAAATACAGGGATGGAAATGGGGCAAGTTTCATTTCCCCCGTCCCATCCCGGATTATCCTACTTTGTCTTTGTTCTCATCCCAGTCCTTGTTTTGTGACAGGGAAACAACTCTCCTTCCAATTAATATATGCGTTAGGGGGTCGTTTACCGAATGCTTACTGGCAAGAGCACCAGCCTCAGTTACTTTATCCGGTAATATTTCGACTATCAAAATGGATTGTTGGTAGGCGCCTTTTATCCAGTAAGTGATTACCATGTAAGAGTCTTTTCATTCGCTTACTATGTAAGATTATTGGTCCTCGTTATGCTCTTTACCGGATAAGATTACATGTCCTTGCGATTCCCATCCGGAAGGTGTTAGTGAATGCCCAAAAACCAATCATATGATGATTGTGACTTTGAGTTTTGTTTCATGAACTTAATAAATAAATATAAGGCGTTGCTCATTTTATTATGTCTATATAAATTATGTGTTTTAATTATTCATAATAAAAAAAAGTTAGAATAATGTATTCTAAATGTTCCTAGTTAAATATTATTTCGGGTTTAAGGTTGAAGTAATATGACAATAACTAGCATATGTAGAGATTCATACAGAGATATTGAATCTGCATATGGGTACAATATGGAGATTTTATGTATCGGACGTGACTCGTTATGAGAACACTTCATTGGATGTCATGTGAGTGTCATGAGTGTTTCTCATATGGTCAGTGTACATGTAATTCTTTGACTTGAGAACATGGAGTTTCTTATGTGTGAGTAATGTATTTTGACATTTATTCTAATCATTCCGTAACTGGGTGACAGAATAATAGTTGGGCATGTTGTATATCACATGATATAATTAGCATGTATCGAGATAGGACTTGTCCCTCATCTATGACGGGAGTCATATCTATGGGTTATTTGATAAATATATACTAATAAATGCATGCATGCTTAGATAATTGATATGAGATATCGTTATCTATTTTTTATTAGTATATTAGGGAATCAATAAACTAAATATTGGACATAACGAGGATGATACATTCAATGTCTTGTGTTCAATCTGGACATCAAAGACAAAATAATTAAATGTATAAGCTAAAATGGACTACAAACCGATAATTTGTTGTATCACCAATTATTGTTATTTGGGTAATGATTATATATTGTTAGATACCGCTCATCGTTTATAACTATAAATATGATATTTATATTTATTACCAACATGTCGAGAACCCATTGGTCACACGCTTTGAACATGTTATAATAAGGAGTTTCAATAATAAAAAATGTTTAATTATCATATCTGATTTGTATCGATATGTATCTATTCAATCTGATTAAATAAGATCAGATATTATTTATGTTGAACATAAATAAAGATGGCTAGAGATGAAATTTGTAAAAGAGTGATGGTGTATGAAAGTCTCACACTCGAACATTGTGGAGGCATGGTGATGGTTAGACCATACCTCTCACATCCATATAAAATATATGACATTTTATGCTAATATTTTTGGTCTTGCAATTCTATCTCAAATCACCTACAACAACATGCTTCATTTTCTTTCTAAGTTTTGAAATTGTGACTAACATCACGATAAGACAAATGATTCAGATTGTTCGCGTGGATACCGTGGAGGCATCAAGCTTTATTTGTTGCTGTGATTCAAAGTTTCGCTAACTGCGAGGTATAATTTCGAAACACCCGATTTATTCTGGTTCGTATGGATCTTTGAAGGGTTACGTTTTCATTTTCCACTGTGCTTGAGATCCCGTAACCCAACAGAAAAGAAGTAACACACGATAAGCACTTAATAAACGGCCCCTTAACCTCTGACATAAACATGTTCAATTAAGTATATTGTTACATACTTTGTTTAAACAGGTTTCTTAAATACTTCATTATACGAATAAAACAAAGTAAGTTTAAAAACTACTGTCAATGTATGTATTTTATTTTCACAATTTTTAAATGGTCAACTAACATGTTTAATTAAGTATATAAGTAGTTGTTTATTTTTCAAATCAATAATCCTCAAATGTATGTCGTTGTTTCCAAAATGATGAAATAAATCAAATAACCATAGAGGCTAGTTCTATTTCAAACTTATTTAGGCAGTTTAAAAATTACAGTTGTATATAATCACGGTGCAACTAGTTTAGTTAAAACTTAAATTACTCTGGTATTTTAGACAAGTAGTCAAGTACGAATTGTTAACAGTTACATTTAAACAATTTGTTTAAAAAAGTAATCAAAATTTGAGACAATGGTGCTTAGGGGTGGTTATGGGTTTGGTTGATCTGGTTGAAGACATTTGAACAACTCAACCCAATGTTTACGGTTTGAAAAATCTTAACCCAACACAAACCAAAGTGCAACACAACCCAACACAAACCGTACGAGTTGGTGGGGTTAGTGAGGTTGATCAGGTTGATGCTTTGGTATATTAAAATGTTATTCCAACATTGAATATGTTACTATTCTACACAAAATTTCTTTTCAATCATCAACCATTTGATAAAACTTATTCATATTTCTTACGTATATTACATTCAGTTAATTTTCTCAATTTACATATGTATGTTCACAGTTATTGAACATATATACAAATGAGTTATATAAAGATGTGAATAGATTGAAAATATGTGTATATGAATAGCGTACGTTATAGTATAATTGTCTAATGTATATATTAATAGAAATTCAACAATCATATTAAATCAAATAAATAAAAGGATATCGGGTTCATTGGGTTGGATTGAGTTCAAATAATAATAACTCAATATCAACCCGATACTTACGGTTTGAAAATTTTACAACTCGATTAGACATTTGGTTGCTTCAGGTTGAGTTATTTTGCGTTGGATTGGGTTGGTCAGGTTTTTGAGCATCCCTAATGATACTTGTGTTTTTTGTTGCTTATAAAAAAATAAGGGTCTGACGACCACAAAAGTACATAACACGATGGTTTGTTTATTTATTTTTTCCGTAACATGTCCAAAATGATTGTTCTCGTAAACTATAAAAAAATGATATATTTGAAAGAAAATAATTAATATGCAATAAAATACGATAAAGTTTATCAAAAGGTAACGTATTTTATTTCGATAATTGTTTAGGAAAGCATACTTTAAAAGACTTTATTTCATGGAACATGCAATGTATTTATATGTAATTGAGTTAACTTGGTGTGTTTTTTATCCTATTAAGGGGTTGTTTGGCAGTTGCTGAATGGCTTGGTGCAGAATGATTAAGTGGTCAGAAACATTAATAGACTTTCATGATGTAGTGCAAAATGAAATATAATTGGTTTGGTAATTGTTTACAATGAAATTAGGACGCTGAATGTTTAAGATAGGCCCCAATATACAAAATTATTCAGAGAGTTTTAGAATCATTAAGAGACAAAGTTTTTCTCTTGCCAAACAAGATTCACCTATTAACGATTCAGAGACTGTCTCTTAATGAAACTATTAAGAGGTGAACAAAATAAATTTTGTTCAAGAGATTTATACCATAAACATGAAAACATTATTTTAAAAATGAATTGTTAAATATAAGAACTGAATAAAGTATGTCTGATTTTAATACAAAATCATTTGCTTTTATGAATATAGAAAAGTCCATCAGTATTTACTTAAAATTATCTGTATTTGTATCTGTAAATTACTTGACCTGTAAAGAAACAAAAGATATACAATGATACAAAAGTCAATAGGTAAAGGGAAAAAAACCAAACTTGGTTACCCATGAACCAATAGGCATTAGGAGTGTGTTGTCAAAACTGCAAACCAGGGGCGGATCTAGTGTATGATAGTAGGGGTCCTAAGCTCCCAATAAACCCATCATTTAAAAAAAAAAACACTAAAAAGATTTGTTTATTAAATTTTCCTATTGTGCGTTCAACAAGAACAAAGCAAGGGCTCCAACCTGATATCCTGATTGTTAATTGGTCCATTTGCAATATACACTGATATTTTTGTTTGAAATATAAAATATAAAAATTATGCACCTCGATGAATTAGTAAAAAGTCAACTGAAAATAGATCCGAATAAGTTATTTTTATTCGGTTAACTGGCCCGTTTAAGTTGAAAAGGAAAACCGAAACCGTTTTCATCCGGATGAATCATTTGGTTTTGAAAAAAAAAATCTACACCCCTAAATGTGCCTCCAACTATAAAAATTTATGGATCCACCACTGTTGCAAACCATGTAATGATGACAAAGCTAGTAGTTTTGTAAATTTAATTTGAGTTTTTTAATATATATATATATATTTATTTATTTATTTATTTATTGTAATCATACATTTTTGGATCAAATATGTTATATGTTTTTTCTTGGAGGAGATGAATAGCAACTTTGAAAAAGTTTAGTTGCTAAAACTGAAAATTCATAGAGTAAAGGGGTGAATTTGTAAAAAAGGCCAAAAACTCTCCATCTTTATTATATATAAATGAATGTTGTATTTAAAATGCAAAGGCTGGCTAGGCCTAGCAGTCAAGCCCGATCAGAAGCCATCCCGTGCACCCCAAAATCCAAAAATGGCGAGGCTCCAGCATGGCCGAGCCAGCTAACTTCCCCCTCTCAACAAATGGTGACGTGGCATGGTGACAAATTGCTTACGTCATTTGAACCCACTAAAAACTTTGTAGGAATCAACTTTTATATAATGAAGAGAAATTTCCAAAATAAGCTTAATGAACTTTAGTATTTGAAATAATTAAGTTTTTTGATAATTTTTTGCAATAAATAAGTTTTTGGATATTTTAAAATTTGTTAAATAATTCATTTGACTTTTTAAAACACGTTATATAGATTCTTATGACCTATAAAACTAAGGGAAAAGTCTAA